TTCAAATTTCTAAATAAAATAATGGGAAAAAGGTGATTCTTGCTGCTTAGCAGAAAGGCTAGTACCTATTAAACAGTTTCCCAGCCAGCATAGGAATATTGGGAGTTGAAGTCCACAAATTTTAAAACCTAGCAAGTTGCAGGGGTGTCAAACTCGTGGCCCATGGGCCGGATGCATCACGTGCTGGCAATGTCCACCCCCATTTTAGCAAAGGGGGTGAAGGCATGATACGTAATGTGATGACAATGTGACACCGCAAGTTTGACATCCCTGCACTATTGTGTTTTTTTAATTCCCTTCAGACTCCTGAGGAAAGTGGGAAATACTTTTAAATTAAAGACAAAAAAAAGTCATTCGTTATTATATTCCCTTCAAGATTTAACTTAAAAAACAAAACAAAACTATAGCTAAAGGGAAAGAAAACACAATGTATTTCTCCATTGACTGGACAGTTCTTATTTAGTAAACCATTGGTTTTAACCTTCATGAATGTAAATTCAAATATTATCAGGAATGTATGTAATGCTTTAGTGAGGCACATGTTCCATGGTTTACATGGAGAATTTAAATCAAATGATGCTATCTAGTCCTCAAAAAACACTTAATGCCAAGTCCATATTTGCCTTTACTGAGGCTTAAATATGTCTTAAATCAACAGGATGACAAAGATCAGGCTCTGTGTTACAAGTTTATGTGTTAAAATGCTATACTCAGGTTCAGGGGTGGGTTTCTACTGGTTCTGTCCACCTCTGTAGAACTGGTAGCTCTGAAGAGCAGCAGACAAAGAACCGGTTCTATGTCTGCTGATGTTTTTGCCCACCTGCCCACCCAGGCTCTTACCTGACCATTATTTCCTGATTTTTTTCAATTTCAGCTGCCGTGCGAGGCACAGCTGCAGTTAAAAAAGCAGGAAAAAAGGGCTTTTTAAAAGGCAAAGGCTGCGTCTCTGCACGCAGCATGCTGATGACGATGTACAGGCACGTGGGGCAGCATGCAGGGAAGCACATCGTAAATCACCGAACCTCGTAAATGACCGAACTGGTAGTTAACCCTGTCGGATCCCACCCCTGCTCAGGTTACTCACATTTTAAACCCAAAATGAAAAATTTATTAACAGACATTGTTGTTCCCTTCCCGCCCCCCACCCCCAAAACAGTACTGCAGTAACTAGCAAAAATGACTTCGATTTTTAAACTAGGCTGGGAGTCCTGTCACACCTTCACATCTTAATGGGAAAACTCGGTATGATTAGCAATGGCAGGCAATTGTCTCTTAAAGAGAACTTTCTACCACCTCCATGGTTTTTCCTAGTGGATCAGGCAGAGCGGGATGTGGTGTAAGTCAGCCTTTCAGTTCAGATTGGGTAGCAGAGCCAACAAGCCTGGCTAGAACATCTTGTGTGCCTTACAACCTGCAGCAGGATTTTCAGCAGGGTCCTGAGACTCCATGACAGTTATACCTATAATGAGATGTTTAAAAGGCCACATGCTGTCTTTTCTTGGGGGACACCTGACAAAGCGATGTCCCAAGCATCCACAGCTAGTAAAGGCAGAAGAAAGCACCATGCTATACAATAAGAGGCAATTGGACTTCTTCTGGCATATTTACCCATGAGCACAGTAGAAATGAGACCCATATTTTATCCAACTTGCAGGGGAGGACAAAAGGTGGACACACAAACATTTTATGCAGCAAGGCAAATGGTGTTCTTTTAAGCATATCTGCAGCTAGGCATTTATTTTATGCAATTATTTGCCTGGAGTCAATTGAGTTCCTTACGCTTCTGGAAAATGTCCTTGGAAGTCATGCCCAACTTTGTTTTGTAAATCTCATTGGGTGTCCTCTTTTTGTTATTTATGCATTTGTGGGGTCACTTTCTCATTGATATAAAGCATTAGCCCAGAAAGTTTTGTCACCTGAGGCAGAAGAGCAAAATATCCTGTTGCTTTTCTTGCTTGCAAAGTTAAGGATTATCATTCCAAAACTAGCCAAATTATTTTGACATCCAAGGCAAAAAAAAAAAAAATCCACAACTTCCAGTCTCCACTGTTGTAAAAACAAAAAGTCAGTTCCAGGGACTCTAGGAGGCACCTAAGGTAGCCTCAATCCTGCCTATAGATACAGTTAGCCTAAAGCAATGATGTGGGAACGATGATGGCCTTCACATAAACCTGTCGAAGACAGTAGAATAATGGCATCAGAGAGGGGAAAACTTTGCTGCTTGGTGAAAATGAATCAACAGGAGGACCAGAAACCTAGATCTTGACAAACTAGAGCCAATAACAGAGGAAAAAGAATAGCCTACTACAGTGTCTGTAAGCATATATAAGGTGTTAAGGTTAACTGCACCTAGCTAAAAGATTCTCCTCTCCTGATTATGGTAGGGGCCTTGGTTTCCTTTGGATCCAAACCTGAGAGTTCTGAGGTAGATTCACCTACTAAGTGAAGAGGAACCCATTAGGCAAACTTGAGATAGGACCTCGGGAAGAAGTTACTGAGGAACAATACCCAATTCATTTGCAGCACTGAGGAAAAAATTAACTGCAATAGATGCTTCAAGTATTTTGCAGATCCCCATGTTAATCCTAATATTAAAAAAGATGATTTTTTTCCCAATGCCCTTCCAAATTTCTGCTCTGGACTGCTATGTATTAATAGCTGCTTTAGTACTGGTTTTTGGATTACAGATAAAACTGCTCACTGCACTGGTGAAAAATGGAGCAATGACACGAACTGTATTCTATTTGCTCTGGTTGTAATTATGACCATCGTACAACTCTTACAAGAAACGTCTGCCTGAACCCCTAACTATAAGTCATCTTATCTTAAGTTACTTTAACTGTTCAAACATGAAGGTCTTTAGAAGGGGTTCTTTTAGAAAGGATTTCTGGAAATAAGATTTCTAAACATTATGTTCCAGAATTGAAAGCATTGCCAACAAGCTCCAGCAAAAAAATAGGGGACATCCTTTGAAGTAAGCAGGTATAAGATAAACATGGCAGAGTGCCAGTGAGAAATTCATTCAGTTAGTATAGGAACTTATCAGGCTCATCATTATGAATCTATATATTGCAATCTGCACAAATTGCAATTCAAAAATAATAATATACAATGTATATATTAAGGAGATGTGCACACAAAAATGTCTATTATTAGGATAAGATATGAATACGGTTTTTAAGGAAAGCTCAAGAAGAAAAGTGCATTAAAATGAGTATATTAGATTATTCTTCTGCCAGAAGAGGTTCAAACATTGGCCAAATCCCCAAACACTGATTCATGTAAAAGGAAATAGATATATTTATCTATATTTTATCACAACAATTCTTTTAAGACTATGATCAGGTTCAGATTGATGCTATCTTTAAACTGAAAAATGCTAATGTTTTTCAATATTAAAAATAAATTGACATATGCATTCAGGAAATCTCTGGAGTATCTGTTTTTTAAAAAAATCAGAAATATAAAAATATCCATACTATATTCAAATCATCTGCTTAAGAATTTTTGGTAACTGAATGGCAGAAAAAAACTACTCAAGTTTCATTACTGAATTATGGCTTTATAAAGTATGCAAAGAGAACACAGTTGTATCCAAAATGTCAGTTTTTCCTGATGTAGTAGTAGTTTTATCTTAGACATCAAAATAAGACTTGGCATTAGGAAAAAACTATACAAAGTAAACATTTGGGAGAGTATTGGAAGAAAAATAACAAAATTAGTTTTGGATTTCTTTTAAAAAAAAATAATAACCTCAAGATTAAAAAATAATTATGTTGAACAGAAAATTTCAGCTTTGTACATTTGCCTGCTCCTTCTCCTCTGTGTTCCCATTGAGAAGTTTCATGAAACAGGCAAGGAAGAATTTAGCTAAGCATGATCCGAACAATGTTATGCACTTGTATATTCCACCAATTTCAGATGGAAGATTAAGTACATTCCACTGAAATCAATACAAGATTACAGCCTGATTATATGCATATTTACTCAGAAGTGAGTAAACTTCCTAGGAAAGGGCCTTAAAATTTGCTCAACTTGGCTGGATTTTGCCCATTTTTCATTAGGGAAAGCAGATTCCAACTCCCACGACCGCAGGAAATCACATTTTGTCCATCCTTTGGGTAAAAACAGATTTAACGATTGTCAAAAAATGGAACCTGAAGAAATGTTCTCCATTTCTTTGCTGCCCACTCCCAAACACATATCAACCTTTGAGGTGAACCACAATCATACCTAATCCAAAGGGAAACAGAGCACCATCCTTTGAAAAGAAGCAAGCTTCATTTCTTAATCTTTACAAGCAGCTGACTCTCTTCACCTCAGAAGAGTCACTACAAAGCAAGAGGAGCTACTCTGCCCATATTACAACCAACTTAGGGCAGCAATTATCAAGTGCATGAAAAAGTGCCTATAAAAAATAATGCAGCTATCACATTATTCCCCTTCTCTGGAATATCTAGATATATATTCATATCTAGCATGTATAACCTTGCATGTGATTCACAGATAAATTCAGAAAGCTCTGCAATTAGTCAATTTTTTCAGCCCTGGTCCAGCTCGTAGGAGCAAAACTGCTCAAAATTGGTCTGTACAGATCATGGAACATTCCCCTTGTGGTTTTACTCTTTCTATGGTGATGAGGTTCAGCTGATTGAGAATTCAATTAGTCCTGAGAATGAACTCAAAGAGGTGGTGTTCTTCTTAAAAAGACCTTGCAGAGGGAAGTGCACCTATTTTTCTTGTCTGCAATACCATGAGTACCTGCCTGGAGTATCCCATGAAGATCTGCTGGTCAATGGCCGCTTGATGGAACAAATTCTGCCTCAGGGTTGGTGCCACTCTTCTTTTAACTAAAGTTTTTGCTTTGGAATCACCACGCAGAGGATTAATAAATGGATGTCCTGGTGGAACAGAAGCTGGTAACATGCATTATTTCCCATTTTGTTGTTTCTTGGATCTTTCTTTTTTATGCAATAAACCAGCAGAATTTTCTTTTCCTGTCAGTCATTGAAGAAACGCCGTAGAACGAATTGGCCCAGCACAATCACGGAGGCTATCATCAACATGTATTTCCAATAAATATTGCTCAAGTCCAGTGCTGCCACCTAGAGACAGAACAGTACCATTATAGATCCAATTCTGTATTAGCCTTCTCCAAACCTGGTGTTACCCAGAAGTGTTGGTTTTAAACACCTAGCACTGTCATCAGCCAGCTCACTGGGAATGGAGGGAATTACAGTCGCCAAAAGAGAAAGTATTAAGTTGGGGAAAGGCGGCTTTAAGATCTTCTCTCAGCATATTCTTTCAAAAGAGTAATTCCGGAAAGGGTCATTAGTATCTGAAGAACTAAAATGTATATACACTTGGGTTTTAGAAGGAAGACAACCCTCCCCTGTGCCTTTCTTCACAATTATTCATCAAGGTCCATGTATTATTTACCGTTTGCTTAGCTGCTTTGCATCATGGTTCAGAGGCAGAATATATGCTTTAGAAAGAGAAAATATTAGCCTCAGTATCCCCAGATAGTTTTAGGAATGCCCTTCCTGGAAACCACTTGGAGCATTTATGAACTGAGTAGCATGTAAATTACAGCAAAGTAATCAACCCATCTCCATCAAACAATGAAAAGCTAGAAAGGTCAGTTATTTGACCTAGTTGAAAAGATAGCTTCATAGGTTCCAAAGGTCTCTGGTTCAAATTCCTGTCAAGAGCAGCTATGGATTTTCTTTGGCCTCTTCAGTTGAAGGAACCAAGTAGGATGTTAGGCTTCCATAGTGCCCCTAGAAGCACTAGATTGAGCCCATCAGAATAGATTCCAGTTGTCTAAATGGAGAAGTAGACTTTATACAAACTAGAGGCTTACTAGAGGCAATTGCAGAACAAATTGGACCTCTTATGGTGGAAGTTTTAATGATGTCTTATTGGCAGCCAGGATGCTGGACTCATGGAGGGGGGCATTTATTTCGCTGATCCCGAAGGAGGATTCGGATCCCCGATATATAAACAATTATAGGCCGATTTCACTTTTAAACACTGACTATAAAATATTTACTTCTATTATAGCAAGTAGACTAAAAAGAATGTTAAACGTGCATATAAATGAAGATCAAAATGGATTTCTCCCGACCAGACAAATTAGGAACAACTTAAGAATAGTACTAGATGTCTTAGAATTTTATGAAGCCCACCCCGAAAAACAAATTGCACTTATGTTTTTAGACGCAGAGAAGGCCTTCGACAATTTAAATTGGCAATTTTTAATCCAAAAAATTTATAATATGAATGTAGGCACCAAATTTTAAAACATTATAACAACTATTTATGATACACAACAAGCTAATATTATAATAAATGGGGAATATACCCGCCCAATAAAAATAGAAAAAGGAGTCAGACAGGGCTGCCCACTCTCACCCCTGCTCTTCATATTATCATTAGAAACATTATTAATGCGAATTAGACAGAACCCAGATATAAAAGGATTAAAGGTTAAGAAAGAAGAATATAAGTTGCAAGCGTTTGCGGACGATATGATTTTTTTCATTGAGGAACCAATAGAAAGAGGACAAAAATTGATGAATGAATTAGAACAATTTGGAGCAGTAGCAGGCCTCAAAATTAATAGGAAGAAAACTAAATTAATGACTAAAAATTTAACAGAAAAACAGAAAATAGAATTAGAAGAAGTTATGGGAATACAAGTGATAAAGAAAGCTAAATACTTAGGAATATGGTTGACAGCACATTGTAAGACATTTAAGGAAAATAATTATGATAAATTGATGCAACAGGTAAAGAAGGATTTAGAAACATGGGGTAAGCTGCAACTTTCATTATTAGGCAGGATCGCTGCCATTAAAATGAATATTCTTCCAAAATTTCTATATCTATTTCAGACGATCCCAATTAAAGTGCACAAATTTTTTTTTTGAAGAACTTAATAAAATAACTGTTAAATTTATTTGGCAAGGGAAAAAACCTAGAATAAATTTAAAGGCAATGCAGGATATGAAGAGCAGGGGAGGGCTGGCACTTCCAAATTGGGAGTTGTATTACGTAATTAATATATTTCAAAGGATACTCAGGTAAGATGGTTCTTCGGTTCACTTACCCATCCTCCTTGCTGAGCAATCCATCGTGCAATGCGATTGTGTAGCACGAATTCAGCCATGTAACGTGCAATTCTTCTCAGGAAGCCAGTTATGCCATGCTGGTATACATGGATTGCCATCCTGTAGCCGAAGCCCAGCAGTGCTATCACACGCCCCCAATTGATGCCGCTTTCAAACAAACTGGGGAAGAGAAGGGTCCGTTGCAAATTAGAGATTTTCGGTTCTTTGCTACTTCAGGAAATGCATTACACTGAGGTCTTGATCCCAGCAACTTAATGTCTTGTTCATCCTAATGGTTCTAACGGGAAGAAGAACTGCAGCTTGACCCTGGGAAAACACTTCTGCAATTTAAGGAACTGCTGACAGGTGTTATACGTGTAGCTGTGCACTTTCTAAAGCAAAGTTTCTTAAACTTAGCACCTTTATGACTGTGTAAAGTGCCTTTTTCCTCTGAATCTGATGGCTTCCCAGATCAATGATAACCATTATCATGATGATTACATTTTGATTCCAGCTTTTTTACATATAAAACTCAAGGCAATGCACATTAATATTCCTGCCTCGTTTCCTATTTACTTGCATAGTAGGAAAAAAGAATGAGATGCCACATGTTTCAATCTCTAGGCTTTTTGAAATGGTTTTGAAAACTGGAAGTTAAATACAAAGATTGGTTCTATTTCAGACCCACAATCCCCTCGTTTTCCAATCCTGAAACACTAGAAAATTCCAACACCAAAATTTGGCAACAAATCACTGAATATAAGCAGCACAAGTTCATACCAATTTCTAAGGGGGGAAACTAAATGACAAGTTGATTTTTTGGAAAATCTCAACACCCTAAACAAGGAAAGTGGGGGGGACCCTAAAATGATGGAAAAATGTGAAATATGTGTCAAAGTGCAGCTCCCCCCCCTTTTTTTTTTTGATGTTTTGCCTGTCCACAGGAAAAACAAAGGCCAGTAGCCTTTTGAAAAAAACACCTTTTGGACAACCATGACATGGATGACTTATGACCTGGATAAATACTTAAATCTGTAGGATCAGCTCTGATCTGGCTATCCCACCCTGGAGGGAAAGAAGCTGGCCTTTCTTTCTGCTACAATGTCCATACAGGCTTATTCTGCCACCATGATATTGGGCAGCATCCTTTAAAAACAATCTGTGCTAGCATGTGGCTATAGATATTTCATTTTTAACTTTGGTGCATGGTTGGTTGGAAATCCTTAGCTATCTGATGGGGTGATTCTGATATCCAATTTTAAAAATCAGCTTTATTACATTAGATGTGGCTGAAAACTTAGCAGGCATAGCATGGAGAGTGTTCCCATACATAGCAACTGAAAAAGAGGAAAGAGAAAGCACAGTAAGTGCTGTTTTACCTCAAGGCAGCAAAATGGTGAAACTTGGCTTCCCAAGGAGGGGACAGCAAGAAAAGAGGACAGGAAAGAGAGTTAGGTAATCTTTAGATGGAACAGGAAAACAATGTTTGTGAATGTAAAGATGCATGTATATACATTGTCACTGTTTTCTCTCAGTTGGTGATTTTACCCTTTGCCATTTCCTTTAAAAAAAAATAAAAATCAGATGGAAAGGAAAAGAAAGAAACAGAGGGGAAAACTGCGACTAAATCTTTCCCAAGCGGAACACCATAAACCTCCTTACAGCCTCTTGTTTGGGTATCACTGCCATTATAATCTCCAGGTTCATAACGGTTTTCATTGGCTTCATGCTACATCTGATGGCCTGAAGAGGAATTCTTCTGAATCAGATCAAAGTCCATTTTTAGTCCAGCATACTCTTTCCCATGTTATCTTGTTCCTAAGATAACACCTCTGGCAAGCTTATAGGCAGGTCAGTAGTCTACTCTTGCTGCTGTATCCTAGCAACCAGCCCTAAATTAAGATGGTGGCCACTACTCTGTGTGATTGAAGATCCCACCCTCTTTTTCCAATCTGGCTTGGACCCCATCCTGCATGGAGCTTCAGATGAGAGATATACACCCTGGGTCTGATTCTGGGGATGATCTGGCTTCATGTAGCTTCAGTGAGGCTGGGAGGCAGCTTCTGAAGTCAGAGCACCTTGTCCAAAGCTGATCCTTTCTCTCCATCTTCACAGGGGAAGGTCTGACATATCTTTTCTTCTGTGGGAACCTTTTCCAGAGGCCACAGAATTATAGGAATGCAAATATGTACCTTTTTATAAGATGCCTTACATTCAGAAGATTTAAAAAAAAAAATTGAACTGAAGAACCAATTGCCTTTATGCTTCACACAGAAGTAAATCCAAGATCCTGTTACCAAGAGATGCTGTGTGTGTCAAGATAGGTGGAAAGCAATCCCCCCACCCCCAAATAAATAAATATCAGCTTAGATTTGTGATTTTGCTCTGCTCCATATTTGTTATTTGTTTGGTTTACATGCCACCAGGAATCCTTGTCATGTACAAGCAGTATAGAGGTTAACATCAACCACAACCTTAAAAAAGGCATAAGCATCAAACTCACTTACCTGGAGGCTATTCTGGTGAAGTACTCATATGCATTGTCCTTGGAAGGCTGCAAGGACTTCAGCATCTCAGAGAACTCCTTATCATACCGTGCATTGATGTCATCACCAATGATAGCTAAGCGTCGACCCACCGAATTGTTGATGCTGCACAATGAACAAATAAACTGGTTAAATTGGAACATGGAGGCAGATTAAGTAAACATTTAAGAGCCTGCGGTACTTACCTATTTGGCTCCTGCTGAATTGCAGCAATTTCTGGATCAACTGGCGCATCCCCCTCAGTTTGCTCCTGCTCCTGCTGGTATCGATGGAAAGCATAGCTCCGGAACACCTCCTCAGTCTGTTCAGCTACCAAGTCCTCTGCAGAAGAGATAACAGGGTCCTTCAGCTATTAGCAGCTTCATTTTGAGCAGAGGTAGGTCACAATTATATAAACCCAAGGCCTTCTCCTCTCAGATCAGGCTACTGAATGTCAAGAGCAAAAACACCAACTTTCAGCAGGACATGTTTTGCCTTCTCCAAAACACTGAGAATGTGTCTCTTAAGCCTTTAAAAGAATTATTGTATCTATTTTTCTTCCAACCTCTCCATATCAACTTTTTCCCAAGTAGTCCAGGCCACAGAGATATGGTTTTCCCTTTTTTATTTGCTTATATTATTATCAAAAAACTCTGTGAAGCAGGATAGACATTTCTTCTGCTTGTAAGTCCATTAGATTTAATAATATATTTTCTCAGCTAAAAGTTGCTCCAACCTGCCTATGGACAGAACATCACCTATGAGTAATGTGCCAAGATCATCACTGAACTTGACAGTCAAGTCAGAACTTGAATCTCATTTTCCTGGTCCAAGTATTTTCCAATTAATTTTTTCCAAACATGTTCAGCAACACTGTCTATTATATCTTAGATGCTGATGGAAAAAGGCAGCTTCTGCTTAAGGATATTAGCAGAGTTTGACTCACAATTAATCTTTAAGAAATTTAAATTCTGACTAAACTGTTGTAAGGTAATATCCAAAGCAACAAAGATTCTTTCTAGCTGCAGGATCATTATCATAGGCTAAAGTGGGAGCCAGCACAATGCTAGTAAAATGCTGGATTGTGGAAATTCAAGGTAAAACTAAATCTAGCCCTAAAGCTCATTGATGATTTTGGGACAATTGAGCCTAAACTGTCTTCCAAGATTATTATGGAAGTATTGGGGAATGGCTATGTGTCCTGAAAATTCTAAGGAGAGAGCAAAAAACCAGAATGCAGTAAAGCAAATGTATTGAAACTAATGATTATCATATATATGCATACTTCCTTGGAGTAAGCTTCAGTCAAGTTCAATTCCTTGTGATTTTAGGTACATATCCATGTTATTTTTCTTAAGCACAGTAAGAGGACAGGGATGGTTTGCTACTGCCTCCTTCCATGATTTTCCCTCCAATTTAACTTATAGCCTTTGGACAGGAGCATCTGCAGAATTTGATGAAATTGTCAAAATGACAAAACAAATGTAGTGATGGTACCACATAATAAAAGTTGCTTCTTCCATGAACAATACCACAATGATTAAGGGATGGATCTTGTATCACAATTGCAGTGTCTTTTGTGATCTGTCCTCCTGTCCCATTTGCTCTGGGATTTCCTTGTGATCTTCCATCCAAGAGCTAAGTAAGTAGGTGATTCTGCTTATTTCTTGAGCCCAAACATGGTCAGCTAATCACAAGTCTTGTGGCAAGACAGTGGAGTGCTTAGAATTATCTTGAAAATGCCCTCTTCTACAGGACGTTACAAATCATTATGAGATGCCATGTACTTTTATATGTTTTATATCTAACAAAATTTAAAATCACCGAAGTTTTGTGTAGGTCCTGTATGCTCCTGCCATGCTATGTACTTCATACTTCACCATATACTTACTATCATTCCAAAAGTCATTTAAAGTCAGAAGCAAGTTGATGCCATAATTCTGTACATATTGGTAATTCTGTACATATTAGTATTGCTGAACTGTGGCCAGGGTGGATTATCGTCTACAATGTTTGGGCTGCACATTTGATATTCAGCTTCTAGGTTGGTTTAGGATTAGTATCTTTTTACTAAACGCAGTTAAGACATCTCGTCAAATGTTTGTGTCATGTATGGCCACTGCAGGTTAAAATGAAACATTAATTTTCAAAGGGCTGCAAAGGGTAATAGCTATAACCTACAACATTGAATGAGGTTTTGTGGTTAGTGCAGAGCCATGTTCTTTAGTTTCCGGTTAGGCATGAGGTTTTTTTTAACCAACCAATCTGCAATCTTATGAAATATTCTGTGCCCCCTTATCAAACCTTCTCCAATTAGATTCTTTTCTCCTTTCCCCTGCAACATGACAGCACTATTACCAACAGCCATTAGGGGAAAAAATCCCCAATTCTCTTTTCGTCTTTACAAAAACATTACTTCCTTTTGCTATATGAGATTTTTGATATTTTTAAATAAATCACCTTGGTGGGATTTGTATTATGAAAGGCAAAATAAAGCTAGTATTGTGAATAAAAAAATTATACTCAAGAAAGCCGTCATGCGGTTAACATTTTTTGTACTATGTCGTTGAACCCCTTGCTGGCTTTCCACGCTATTGACCTTTCCAAGCTATTTACAGCCCTCCTCCAACTAATCATATATTTATACAGTATCTATATTATAGCATGAAGATTGGACTTATTTGGGAACGTTTTTCATCTTTCATTTAAAGAAGCCACTTAATTATTTTCAAGAGCCTAACTTTCATTGGAAGGCTAATTAAAATGAGGTACAATGGAGGCCCCTGATATGGCTGAAAAATCAGAAGAAATCAGTGTCTTGCACCCAATCAGCACAGGTTTGGGAAAGGAGAACAGCCTCACAAAGTAAAAGCAAGTAACTGACTCATATTCTCACTGAAGCATTGCAAAATCACCCACAAGTTACAAGCAAACAATTAAAAGAAATCTTTCCCCCCTGCAACCTAGCTTACTAAGAATACAGTCTCTATTTCTACCATGTCTTAGCACAGTACTGTAAATGAATCCTGAAAAATAAGCAAATAGGAAAATAAGCAAAAGAACATTATACCAGCTTCCTGCTTAAAAAAAAACTTGCAGGAGATTTAAAATGTAAAGTGAACTGTCTCTTAAAAAAAACTGCAAAATTGCATTTGGGTCAGGTATTATTAGACACGTTAACAGAACTTTGATTACCAAAAAATCAGGCAGCCTATTATTGTCCACACCGTTTTGCGTTGCCTTAAGACCCTTCACCTCCCACAACCCAAAGAGAAACCTGACAGCACAGATTTTGTTATTTTACTTAACTTGCCTGAAAAGCTAAACATTTCATCCTCCTCCTCCTCCTTAGGTGACATCATTCTACCAGCATCATGCCACCAGCAGCCCTAAAGGCAGTGAGTAAAAAACCCACAAAAATGCATCTCCCTCCTCATCTTTAAAGGATTTTAATCCAGAACAGAGAAAGAAGTAACTTTCAGAAAAAGAGAAAAACACAGCTCCATGCCATTTTGAACCACACTATGTTTATGGCATTATATAATGGTCTTTTTAAACATGCTTTTAAATAGGCTTTCAAGTTTGAATATTAATAGCCTATTCTTCTTGTCTCATACGGCCATTTGAAATTGTTCTACTGTAATTCACTAACAAATTTCAAATAAAACTGGTCGTTTCCTCCTTGATAGTCTTTCTTGCATTAATCTCCTTAAACTACAAAATGTTGTCTCATAAGGAAACAGTGATGAATAATAAGAGGAGTGATAAATAAGTATCTCATGTGCAGGAAGTCAATGTTAGCTCATACAGCAGGATTTAAAGGAGGATATGGTTATTGTAGCACAAACAGTAAAGAAATGTGATTGCTGGAATATAATGAAATGATTCCTAATTTGTACCAGAATTACTTCTCTAGTTTTGTAAAATATCGCACATTGCTAACAAACTTTTGTATATTTACATTTTATAATTAGTCATTTGTTTTTCCACCTGTAAAACTTTAAAGGATAAAAAACAATAACTGAATTAGAGTGCTAGAGCAAATTATGTGACATTATCTAAAAATCCTGATCATGCAATGTATTTTTCTCCATATCATATAATTAAGTCTGCTTTGGAACAAGGCTATGTAAGTTAAATATGCTAGATATTCATTCATTCATTCATTCATTCATTCATTCATTCAATTTCTAAAGCTGCCCAACTCAACCAAGTGACTCTAGCTGGAGTCCAGGATATTTAAGGACACAAAATCACAATTGTTTATACAAAGATTAAAGTATAAAGTATATTGGTATTAGGTGCATTGGAATGTATAACTACCGTGTTTCTCCAACAATATGCCCCCCCATAGGAAGACCCAGCATGTTTTCTAGGCATAAAATGAAATTAAGCCCCTTCCCCAAATTTAGGCCTAGTTTAAAACATACAAAATGGGGGGGGGAGGTGGGGGGGGACTTGCCATTAGAAGTGCCCCGCGGGTAGCTACGCCTTGCCATCAGCCGCTCCTAACAGCCAATCGTAGTGGAGCACGGAGGGCTCCCTTACCCCTCCCTTACCCGGGTCAGCAGGTGGGCGGTGTCGGCATGGATGTCCGGCAGTGTTTCAGCCGCTTCTCAGGCCTCCGTAGCTTCCATGGTTCCCACCGGTGCTGGCGCCTCTCTCGCCAGTCTCCAACAACAGCATCTGAGTCGCTCCCATTTTTCCCCCATCCCCGGAACAACAGGAAAAAAAAACATTTTGAGGTGCCGTCTCCAATAACAGCAGCAGCAGCAGCGGGAACCGTGGAAGTTATGGAGATGGCTCCCCCACCCGAGAAGCGGCTGAAATGCTTCCACGGTTCCCGCCGCTACTGCCGCTGTTGTTGGAGATGGCGCTGATGAGAGAGGGACAGCTGCAGCTCGGCCTGGGCGCTTGGAATGCAGGAACGGGCTGCGCACCAGGACTTTTGCAAACTTGCAGAGCCCAAGGCTGGAGCACCAAGGGTAGCAGCAGCAGAGACGCTTGCTCGGCTCTTCTCATGCCCACCCAGCCTCTCGGGATTAAACCAAAACGCAGCGCGCGGCGCTCCCAGGTACCTCAAAATCTTTTTTTTTTCCTGTTGTTACAGGGATGGGGGAAAAACGGGAGTGACTCAGTTGCTGTTGTTGGAGACGGTGCTAGTGCACCGGGGAGATTAATTCACCCCCCAAAAGACATCCTAGCTGTTTTTTCGGGGTTCAAAAAAAAAATAAGGCCTGACTTTATTTTGTGAGAAACACGGTAATAGGGGGCAATCTTGGAAGGAAAATTATTTTTCCAACAGATCAAAGAGAGTCATCCAAGTTGTTTAAACGAAGTTAAATATTCAAAATTTTCAGAATAAAAAGGGCATATTCATATATATATTTTTAATTTTGATCTCAATGCTCAAATATCTCAACAATTATTTTAATTTTGCACTAATTCTGTGTATTTGCTTTTTAAAATTCAGTAAATAAGCCAATGTGATCCCAAAGTCACTGAAAACACCACTATCATTCATTGATTAGGAATTATTCATAATCATACATTGAGCAGGTGTGTTCTTTAGTACATATTTGTGGCCAGATGATTTCCTCTTTTTCATCTATATTTCAGGCACCCTCTGATAATTTTTATTTGCAGTATGTGTTGGGTATCCAGGATAAATCTCTCTAAAAGTAAAAAAAAATGCTCCATTATGTGTAAACTTCGCTTCCAAATGTCTATGGAGATTTACAGTCATCCAAGTCATGGTTGTCCCACAAGTGCTTTGTCAAAAGGCAACTGGATTTTGTTTTTCCTTGAAGACATTTTGCTTTTGAAAGGACTTTTGAAAAAGCACCTTTGGGACAACTATGACCTGGATGACTGAGAATCTCCATAGACATTTGGAGCAAAGCTTACCCATAATGGAGCAAAACTATGGAAATGTAAGGAAAAACAATGAAAAAGCACCTTCGGGCCTTCGCTCACAAATCGTTGCTAGTAGTCATTGATGTTAGGGGTTAATTTTGCGTTGTTTTTGCCAAACGTATTTTTATTGGTCAATGACTAAAATAAAATTGATGCCTGTCTGTCTGTCATATACTGTGAAGATTCAGATGATGCCAATGAAGGGGTGGCAATGAAGACATACTCTATGCATTAATGCATACAAAATGATACTGCAGAACTCATATCTCAAGGCTATGCAGTGACATAAGAGCCAAGTACCCTAGTAACTAACATTTTACTGCAGCTAATCTATACAGAAGGTATCCAGTTAAGATTATTATCCCCATGTGATTGAGGCTAATAGCAAGCACTTTATCTACAGTTTCTTAAAAATTCCACGGTTTTAAGAGATTTGCATTGAGTACATAGCAATTTTTTTCTGTTAAATCTGCACACAAGATATATGGATGGGAAAGTTGATCCAAATAGCCTATAACCTGCCACATAATTTAAGAAGCTGCCTATAGGTGGGATGAATACAAATGCCAGTCCTAAGTGGTTTAATGTATTAATGAATATATAATAGCAGCATACTAAGTTTTCTTCTAAGATAGAAATTTGTAAAATTATAATCCAAAGTAACCCTGGACTTGATTCTGAACAATATAATGTCTCATGTGTTATTTGTATGTTAGTGACAAAGCTATACTTAAATTTAATATTTGCACAGTCTTAGGCAACTGCATTCCTGGGATAGGAAATAAGAACCCACAACAAGTTTAATGAGATGTTAAAACACTCCTAGCACAATATTTGACAATTATTTCGGGAAGTAACTTGAATCGTCTGCAGAGTCTAACACAGCAGAACCCTGGCCCCAATCTAAAAGGTTTCATATCCTGGTAATTCACAAATAAGAACAAAAGTCCCCTATGCTCAGAAAACAAATTTACCTGCTGAGACATATTTTAAGACGGAGCTTACACATTGATCAATTTTTTCTAATGACTATTGCATCTATGGGTGGATGATGTTGAAATATGACTGCCAAGATGAAGAAATTATTCAAAATTGTAACTGAGCTTCCAACAATCTACCAATAATAATTTTGAAACTCTCTCCTTGGAAGCAGGCTTGTCAAATGAGTAAATTATACCACATATTTATTCATTTCTCCTTCATATCAGAATGCAGTATAATGATTTTTTTCTGGGAAAGAAAGAGGTGCCAATAATTCTTGGGCACAGTCATAAAATACTGCACATAGATTATGCCTACCATGACACCAACAACTCCACATTATCAAGAGTTGATGCAGATGTCATTTTATGGTTCCCATATATCAAATGCTGGTAACTGAATGAAACCTCAATGGAATTCCCCACCCCCACCCCCGCCCCCTATAGCTGCTTATCATGTCCAGTAAAAATTGTTCAAAAGTGACAGCCACTAATAAAACACAAAGAATTATTTCTACCTGATGATTACTCATATAGTAGTCCCCTTTATCTCCTTGATACAAAAGCAATACTGATTATATATACAGTTAGTCACTTTGCAAAGGCTTGACTTTGGCGCCCTCCAAATAATAGGGATGTTTATTATCAGTCACCTGGCGGGCAGAAAACATGGATAAGACTTTTCTGTGACCAAGGCTTTCAAAGAGACATGTAACAGGGATAATGGGGTATGTGGGGTTGTCAATCCAACTCTACCAGGAGCCAGAGATGTAACAAATTCTTGGCCTCCATTGCTGCCAACTTTTCTTGTCAGAGTAAGAAACAAGAAGCAAAAAGAGAGAGGAAAGTGCTTTCTCCACTTAAGCAAAAGGTTTGGATGTAGCTTTTTTTAAATTTGAGAATTAAATAATTGGAAAAGCAATCACCACACACCTATTAATTCAAAGAAAGAAAGACAGAAAGTCCTAAACATGCCTGCTCAAAATCTGAATTCAAAAATCCTAAACAAACTTGCTCCAAATTTGAACCTCCCCATGTATCAATATTAGGTGTTAGATTTTAGGTTTGGGATGGGGCACACTGGAAGCAGGAGGTGAAGATTGTAACTCTTAGTATATTCAGAGATAATTTACTGCAAGAAGTGAAGGGTTGCTCCCCTTCCTATGTATTAATCCACCTTCTGCTTAAATCTTGGTGCTTCTGAGCTGGCATTGGCAGGCGTGTTTGATGTACTCTATGCCATGATCTATTTGTTCTTCTGATCTCAGCTGATCTTGCTACATAAATTCCTACAAAAAGCATTAAAATATGATAGAGCTTTATTCTTAGCAAAAGCTGTTGCTACTGCCATGCTACTTAAGAAGCTTGCCAACTGGTTATTCGTCATCAGAGTCAATGGAAGAGCTGCAATCATGTTTACCTGATGTTTCTTGAGTTGATCTGCGCCTTTCTCCTGTTCTTCTCCTGTCTCCTGGGTTGCTGCCATTCCATGAAGCCATGCTGGTGCGTACTTTGGTAGAACTGAGTAACCTGAAAAAGGTTATGGGACAGACAAAATAGTCCTTATAACTGTTCCAGGATCACAAGCCCAACTCTTGTTTTCATCACTCAAAAGTCTGCCTCACTTTCTTAGAAAAGCAATCCCCCCCTAATCACTCCTTCCTCCCCAAACATCAATCCTCAACTTCCTTAACTTAATTTTTGACACTATCATTCCCATTATTCTCATAGATATAAAGCAAAAACAGCTCCTGAAAAGCAGATTGGAAATGAGAACTTCTTAAAAAATACTTGCAATGGTTTGAATTGATTGATTTATTTAGAAAATTTATATTTCCGCCTACTCGCACATGGATACTCAAGGAATCTCACAAGGATATAAAAACACCATATAAAAGAAATAAAAATAATACAATGATAATTGCTGAGACAGTGTTGGATGTCAACAGATAGGTAATCTACTTATACCCATATCTTCAATTCTGAGATTGGCAAATTGATATCATAAATAAATATGTCTATATCTGATGAAGTTGTGCAATAAGAGAACATATTTATAAATAAAATATAAGTATAAAGTAATGATTTAGTCATTAGGCTTTATATAAAATGTAAGACTTATTATTAAAACCTAATACTTCAAGTCCTAACCAAGAACCTAAGTATTATTATAGTGCCTTTAAAGAGGCAATTCCATGCAGGGTGTTGTTTTTGTAAAATTAGGGTGTTCAGGTCTTATAAACTCAATAATTACAGATATTGAGGAAGCCTTATGTATCTCTTTGAGGGCTCCCATTATGCTTAGTATAAAACAATAGATTTTTTCTATAAGTGTTTATTATTAAATTAAACATAGTGCAATTCTTTGCTTTCTTGGCCTCTAAAGAGTAGATGAGCCATGGTCCCATTTTTGATACCTGCTTTCTCCCAATTACAGCTTAAATTAGAGACATTTATATTTGAAGTCCACTCATTTTTAGCCTTTCTTTCAGCAATTCTGGGCTGTTTTTTAAAAGTAATGGCCATTTTGATTTTTTGGCAGAAATAGATGTTTGGGAGTGATTTGCTTATCTGCCCAAACCCATGTAGATCTACTCAAGGTAATATGCAGTTGAAGTAAATGCTTATATGACTAAGCAGAGAATCTGGTGCTGCTCTGAAGGGCTGTCTGGCAGCCTGGTAAACAGTACTTTTGAAAGAGGAGGGAAAGAAAATGATGATATTCTGGAAGAGTATGATAAACTCACAATTTAGTGGGCATACAACACAATGGTTGGCTGGATGCCCTGCTTATTTATTTCTGATTAATGGAGCCCAACAATTCTAATCCCCTTAACAATCCCAAAAATCTGCTCTGGACCTCAAAAAACCACTTTATAATCTTTATAATCTTTAGACTCAAGACCCAATTTCTGACTCTATCAGTTGAATATAGATGTTGTTAATTGTTTGGAGAGCCCCTTTTCTTGCTTATGTAAGGAATTATGTGGTTTAGATTAATCAACCTCTGTGTCTTCCTGGGTCTACTTCTGTTTTCACTATTATTGGTCATATGCAATGGTTTCCAAGGAAGGCATAATTTTGTTAAAGAAAGGGTTTCATGGTAGAAGGAAGTTGTTGCTCTTTATATGCAACTACTATAGGAGTTGGAAAAACAGAAGAGGCAAAGGTCTGTTTTATAGGTAGCACTAAGGATCTGTATGACTTGGACAAACTGATAAGCGGTTGCTTATTCCTGGCTTTGCCTTCTGATGCACCTATTTACTTGGGACTGGTTCTGGTTCCTCTTTCATTTCTTCTGCAAAAGAACACCACTAGAATTGTGCTGAATTAACTCTTTCCTAATTGGAAGGAAAGAGAAGAGGTTGACTAGGAGTAAGGTGGATGAACAAAGGCAACATGTGCATCCTTGGGAAACTTGAAAGAACAGGTTAGGGATAAATTGTCATGGAGAACATCTATCTATGTGGTGCCTAAGACTCAAAATGACTTGATGATACATCAATCAATCAGCTGATGGATGCCCTGAAGTTGCTTGTATTTTCATAGGTTTATTTTTACATTTCTAACATGCAGGATAAAAACATTTTTTAAACTTTTACTATTTTAAATAGAGACTGAACCAAAAGAAAGTTAAAAAAAATACAACTTCAGATAAATTAGGAGAAAAAAGAAAAACATTCCTTATAAATATTTGTAATATTCATTGGACTTCTAATAAATATATATTACAAAATAGATCTATCTTAACAACAAATATTACAGCATCTTCTGATTAGTAAGGAATACTGCATTTTTCAAACCATATAGATCATGTATTTCTGACAAACATTGCTTAACATTTTAAATAATATCACTTTTCCAATTTCTCAATATGATTCTTCTAGCTCCCCCATGTGATATACCCATAATTCCTGATAAACAAATTCCAACGTTTTGGTAAATAGTTCAATCTCATATTAACGTCCTTAACATTTAGAGAGTTTCCTATAAATTTGCTTATACATATTAAAACATTATTCCAAAAAGATATCAATTTATCCCATGACCATATCATATGGGTCAATGAATCCTCAAACATTTTATACTGCACCTCCAAAATAGAAAATCTGATGTCCATATTTTAAAATATACTCCTTGGAGAGTCCAATACACCCTAAATACATTTTAATGATTTGAATGTACCATAGGGAAAATCTAACAATTCATTTGCTTCTAATATGCCTTATTGTTAAAAAAGGTGGTAGTCTCTTTGAATTCTGGGATAATGTGACGCTCTAACACAACAAATCATATATGGTTGCACAGGAACTGTCCTTCCCATGAATAAAAGATATTATTTCATTGGGCTAGGGTTTGGCAAGAAATATATTGCATACAGTTTTCTAAGGAGATTCTCAGTCATCCAGGTCATGGTTGTCACAAAGGTGCTTTTTCAAACTTTCCTAGTTTTTCCTCAAGGGAAAACAGTAATAGAATGATACAATTTTAGAAAGGAAAACAAAGAAAAACATTGACTCTCATTAACACATGTGTGTCTGCAGACAACAGATATATTACAACACTAACACCTTCACAGAGGTGCTGGGGCCATGTACTTAGTTTTAAGACATCCAGTGGATTGTCAATATGTGGCAATAGTTTGCCACATGATCAACAGATATCAAAAGTATTACAGTATGTAGAAATGAGACTCTGGCCCATCTCAATGGGGTCAACCCATTTTTATTCACAAATGTGTTAGGTTTCAATAAAATCAAATTACAAAAACCTTACCAACCTTTTTTTTTTAATAGACCAGATTTCAATGCCTAAATGTAAACATTTTCTAAACTAAATAAACATGACAGCATAAAAATATTCCTTTCAGATTTATATGCTGTAATTTAAGGACCTCAACACAGAGAAGTCTTGCAGCACTATTAAGAAATGTAAGAGGTGGACAACTGGTTTGTAAATTTAGCACCGCTTACAATCCAAGCCTGAATCCCATGCCTGAAGCAAAATTTTAAAAGATAGTGCAGCCCCCTCTTTAATTTGCTTGGGACTCCGGTCAACAACTACAGTTTGAGAACCTCTGTGTAAAGAAATAACTAATCTCTGCAATGGGATCTTAAATTCTAAATAAATAAGGGTTTAGTCTTAAGCTAGAACATTTTTCTTCCCCTTACTTGAATAAATTTCTGAGTCCTTGAAATGTCATAATCCATATTTTTGTTCAGAACAATTCACAGATGGTTAAAAGGGGAAAGACATATCATCTTCTATGAGGGCGCTCAGTAATAAATTACTGGCAGTAATGAAATAATCTGCTGAGTCTATTTTATATTTATATGACTGAACTCTTTGCCACACATTCAAAAGAATAGGAAATGCCATGAGAATTAGCCCATTTAGCAAATTGTGTCTATCACTGAATGTATGTGTGTGTATAAAATATTTTTTCAAATGTTATTCCTATTTCATTATTTATTTTGTGGAAAAATGTCACTGCATGTTGGCAACTAATTTTGTACAATGATACAATTGTACAAAATCACCATGGAGACTACAATGAGGCCTTCATACATCAGTGCAATGAAAAACTAAAGCCATTAATAATGGAAACTGATAAATTACTATTGCATCAAGTTATGACAGCGAGACCAATGTTGCCAAGGAATATCACAGAATTCTAGATCTTTAAGTTTCCTGAAAGGTTTTATTCAAAATAATATTGGGTTGCACTAGGAAGGTAATTTGTGTAGCATGATTTACCACATTATGCCAGGGCTGAGTACGCCAATTTTTCCTCTATTGACTGTTTACTTGATAATTCATTTACAGATACATAATTCACTTGGCTGTTCCTTTTTCTCTTTATTTGCAGGGAGTTCCTATTGGGGGGAAAACTGTCAATCCTGGATAATATAGCTTGTTGACTGAAGGCAATGAAAAGTGAATGTAATATAAAATGTATTATTTTGTTCATAGCCCTTGCCCATTCAACAATTCTAGTTGATGGAAGCCTTGATGTTCTGCCTCTTGGTCTTACGTAGAGATTATTTCCCACACTCTGGTTGTTATTTCCCCCCCTAACCACTATTGGTTTTCCCCCTCAAGACTGAATTAATGGTAGAAATTGAATACAAAGTTATACTGGAGAGGCACAAACGAAAAATAGAATTTGTGCCTAGTCTACTACCCAAATGGCAAACTAAGTGAACACAATATTTGAAATTATTGCTAACGAACTGCTTTTAAAAAACCTTAACAGATTTTAAAGAAAAAAATAATATAGTCAGCATGTTTTGATACTGCTTGGAAACAGATATAATTCTGATGTGTTTATTCAGAAGATGAACATTCCAATATTCCAATACTTCAGATGACGTAAAAACATCCTCTAAGTCCAGCATTCTAATTAATATAGTGGTCAATTTGTTTTCAATTGGGAAACTTGTTTGTCTGGACTAGTGTGTGGTATCTTCCTTTATTGGTTCCCAGCAAATAGCATTTAAGGCATGATGCTGATGACTGGGAGGACAAGAGGGTTTTCAAAGGAGTACTTTGAATATCAAAGACCTACTTCATAGATGAGGTATTGTAACAGCGAAGGCATGTTTACAACAGAATGGGACAACTCGCCCCAGCCAACTCACCACGACCAACTCGCTGTAGGACAACTCACCGTGGGACAATTACACAATTCAAATTAATTATTTAAAATAAATTAAAAATATTTTAATTTTTGTCATTCACATTTCATTATGTCCCTCCTTTTGCATCCTTTATTTAATTATTCTATTCCACCACTTCTCTGATATATTAGCATAAGTCTTGCCTTGCAGTGACTTGTCCCATAGCAAGTTGGCCACAGCAAATTTTCCTGCACAGAGTTGGTCACAGCAAGTTAGTGTGGTGAGTGGGCTGTAGTGAATTGTCATAGAGTAGACCCTGCTCATCAGAGAACATTGCTTAATGGATGGGACATGAAGAATATCTGTTCTATCAGACTCTGAGAGATAGAAAGTAATGAAGGGAGAGAAGTGATCACTCAGACCACCTCTCTCTCCTCATTTAATAAGCAGCCATCAAAATTCCTACCTACTAATAGCCTAGTCTGCTATGAACCTGCCCAGTCCTGTTGGCTATTGTTACCACTAGCCTCTTAGCCAACTTTTCTAGCCAGACAGGCTCAGACATACCTAGTCTACAGTCACTCATTTTTGGACATGGAATTTATTCTTGCTAGAGAGGCAAATAAGATTCTTCTCCAATTTCTAATTAAAGTTATAATTTGCAGGAGGAACAAAAAGGCATAGAGATAACACTGGTTCTAAGTGTTGTCTATTCTCTAGAGCAGAAACGTTAGCTAAAAGCTGCTCTAAGTTTAATATAGTTTTGTGCTTTTCAATCTGATCTCTGGCAATAAAGGGAACAGCTGGATTAAGAACCACAAAAACGATATGAAAAAAGTGTTTTAGGGATCATGCGAACACCACATCTCTCTCCTATTCAAAAGCCAGCATATATTTCTTTAAGATTCCCCCCATTCAAATAAGTGCAATTCTGAAAGGAGCATCATCTTCAGGATTGTATGGAAGCTTGAAAAATATTGGTCAGCTTTAATGAAGGGCCTATAATACTCAGAATGGTTTCCCATAAAAAGAAACCCCAAGCATAATTGCCTCATTCTTTTCTTCCTTCAATTCCCTGCTATAGCTCCCATATTCCATTGTAATGCAACAAAAGACATGCTGCTTTTAATCACCACTTTTTGTTTCACTGGTTACTCCTGCAGTCATTTTCCTCCCTTTGCCCTTTAATTTTCTTGGTGGCGTTTTAGACAGGACAACAATGCGTCCTGCTGCTGGAGAACTAGGTTCAACGATAACCAAAACTGCCAAGCACAGATGAAATGATGCTTCACTAAGTCCATGAACACAATTAGCAAATTTTATATATATATAAAATATATATATATATATATATATATAGGTAGTCCTCGACTTATGACCACAATTGAGCCCAAAATTTCTGTTGTTAAGTGAGACATTTGTGAAGTGAATTTTTTTCCTATTTTACATCTTTTCTTGCCACAGTTGTTAAGTGAATCATTGTGCTTGATAAGTTAGTAACCTGGCTATTAAGTGAATCTGGCTTCCCCATTGTCTTTGCTTGTCAGAAGATTGGAAAAGGAGATCACACAACCCTGGGATACAGCAAAGGTCACAAATATGAACCAGTTGCCAAGCATCCGAATTTTGATCACATGATCATGGGAATGCTACAAAGGTTGTATCTATGAAAAATGATCATGTCACATTTTTCAGTGATGTTGTAACTTTGAACCATCACTAAATGAACTATTGTTAAGTCGAGGACTACCTGTATAACTCTACCTCTGGAAACCACCACCACCAACAACAATAAAATCACTGAAGTATGCTGCAGTTCCTCCAGGCAACCAACTGGCAACTCCAGGCAATAAATGTTTCTCACATGCAATTGCCAGGCTTGTGAACAGTAAGAATCCCAGTGCACATAATACAAGAATCTTCTTGCTTTCTTGGAGTAAACAATCCATTGGGCCTGCTACACACAAAAGAATTTAGAGTCTTCCGTGTTAACTTCTGTACTGCACTCCTCTGACCTTTTATCATAGTAAATCATTTACCGCACATCCTAGTCTTGGTTTGCCTGTAGCAAGGCTACAGAGAAAATCAACTTGACCTAAGACGGATTCTTAAGAAGTCCTATTTGAACTTTACTGTATCAAACATAAAGGCTATTTTGTTAAACAAATTATTCCAGTTGTTACTGGCCCAAATGCCACCATGTGTTTGGGAAATTTGTCTCTAAACAACTTAATTATACATTCATTTAACCATGGCTAATTAAATAAACAGCTGATTGGGTTTATATATCCCATTCTTTTTACCACATGGTTTAATTTTAGCTTAGTGTCTTTTGTGAACCTCAACCAGATTCTCTCAAATCATGAAATATACAGGAGCTAAAGAATGTATTAAACAGGCAGGTCATTTTGACAAATCATTAAGCTGGCATCTAAATTTGAAGGGGATGGTGATTCTATTTGTTTCTTTATTCTCTTTCACAGTAAATAGCAAAACAAGGATAGGATTGGTTCTTACTTTAATATAAGGCCATCAAGGAATACCAAGGCACAAAACTCCCCCCCCACCCACAAATCTCAGAAGGTACTAAGGGCAAACCACTTCCCTACCGCTGCCAATAAAACCACACTGATAACAAAACATCAAGAATAAATCTCAACTGAGGACTCTACCTCTGGAAACCAAACACTGTTAATTTACAACTGCATGAGGTATTTAACTGCTTCATTCTTGTCACTTTGCAACTATTGTTGCTTTTGTGTATTGTTGCTTATTTAGAGGGAAACCAACTACCAAAGTAATTCTTTGCTTTTTCCCCCCTCCTTTTATTCTGTCTTCCTGTTCCTCAGCTATCCCCCAATTAAATCTGCAATGGAACATGAAGAGTTGTGACTGATAGATTAAACTGATGAAGTCATTTTTGATAATTATGAAAGTGAAAGTCAAATATCTCTGGACTATCCAAATTAGGGTAGAAGCCACCTAAAGCCACTCCTATGCTATGTACTTTTTTTTGTCCTGGATAACACATGGTATTCATATTTGCGTAGGAGAAACAATGATTAATCGCTCGGTAAAGGAGGTTCAGAAAAGCTTCATTTTCTGATACCTAAGCTGAAACAGTACTTTATATTTATTGTGTGAACACAGTCAGATTTAATAATAGTTTAATCTTTAACGGAACAAATTCTAGAACCATATTCCTAAAAAATCCACCTTAAACTAATGCAAATACTTTACTAACTTCCAGATACATGAACTTGAACTCCCTGAATTCCCCAACCAGTATGTCTACTGCTGACAATTCTGAGAGTTGAGGTGCATAGATCTGGAAGTTGCCAATGTTCTAAAGCTATATCATAAGTTAGATTTTGACAAAACATAATTAAACTATCTACTAACAAACTCCATGCAAATACATGAATTGGCAAAACACAATGAAACTTAAGTTAAAGCTAAACTGACTAGATTCATGCAACCCAATAAGATTCCATCTCATATGCTTCCTGTTGTGCAAACACACACACACACACACACACGTATATAAATTAAATTCAGGTGAAACAAATGTTAACTCTGGCAACAGAACACTTAATACTTGTGATAACCCGTCTTGCTGTGGACAGTTAAAACTGAAGGGTTTTTTTAGTTATCGCAACGTTATCGGAGCAAGCCTTACACTTTCCGGTGCTAGTTTAAATTGGTTTTTGTTACTCCCAAGAAAAGGCAGCAGTACTTCGTGCAGCCCAACATTATAAGGCGCAAGAAATAAGGACCAAGTTAAAACCACCGCCAATGGACATTTATAACTCACCTCGAACATTTGTCATTGTTAACAGTACCATCGCTAAGAGGGGGGAAATGACCGTAAGTCCGTTAGGAAAACACGGACACCCCTTCTAAATGTCACGCCCCGGGTCATACGCACATTAATCCGGAATAACTGACACCCCGCTGTTCCCAACTTACAATATCTATCTTTCAAGGACGAGGGCCAGGTTTTTAGCCCCGGCGATGCACCGCAAAGCTCGGAGGGAAGAAGAGGTGGAGAGTTCCGTTCTGCTTTGCGGCAATCTCTCGCCTGGAGGCTCGTCCTTCTCCCCGGGTCCTCCCTGCTTGACCCTCCTGCTCCTCGGAAGCACCTCTAGGCCTGCGGCGCACTTTTGCTCAGCCGAGCAGGCGGCGCTTCAGAGCGCAAAGCCTCGCCAGCAGCCTTGCATCCCCAGCTCCGCATCCAGCCGAAGGCCCGAAGAGACAACCCCCCCCACCCCCGTGACGCACCCAGGAAAACCGCCCCCCCTCCAAGAGAAACAGATGCAATGCTTCTTCCTGCTTCCTTGGACCGGGAAGAGGCAGAAGATCGCGGCTCCTGCACGGCTCGGGCATCCCACAACGTCAGGACCCGCCTTCGCGCGGATTCCCCGCCTTTCCCGGCCGTGGCACTCACCCCGCTTCTGGGGATCGGTGGCGAGGGCCACCTTTCCACCCAGCCGGCTTTTCCACGGGCTGCTCAGAAGAAAGTGGACAGGGCCTCGCCCGGCTCCTGCGCCGCTTTCGTTCTCTGCCACGCGCAATCTTGCGCTGCCGGGCAAGGGAAAGCCGGAGATCCTTTGCTCCGAAAGGAAGGATGAAGTTTAAAATAATAACAATAATAATAATAATAAAAAAATCATAGATGCAAAGCAGGTGAAAGCCACGGGACTTCTGGCAGCGCCCTCTAGAGGGCGTGTTCTTTGTAGTCGCCTTATGCTGTGCGGGAAAATGGGGTGGGTGGGAAGGAAATCGCTTCCTTTTGCCCTGCGCAAACGGGGCTCGAAAACGTACGCTCGAACACGTGGGCTGCACACCACTGTATCCCCTGGCAGGAGACGGTTATGCACAGCGCAGAAAAGGGGTTTGAAAATCCAAAAGGGAAACTTGCTAAGTCTACACAACAAGGGTCTTCAAACTTGGCACGTTTGAAGACTTGTGGACTTCAACTCCCAGAATTCCTGAGCTAAGCTGGCTGGAGGAGGAATTCTGGGAGTTGAAGTCCACAAGTCTTAAAGCTGTCAAGTTTGAAGACCCCTGCTATACAATAATACCATTCGTCCTGTGTGTCCATTTTTGTTTGGCGGGGTCTGGTCAGCGTTGATTCCTGGGCTAGTCCCTTTACTTTGGAAGTGCTTTGTCATTGCCTCCCTCCTAGGGCTGAGAAAGTGACCGGCCCAAGGTCACCAGTTGGCTTCATGCCTAAGGTGGGACTAGAACTCAGGGTCTTCTGGTTTCTAGCCTGATGCCTTACCCTTCAAACACCACTTCTCCCTATCTCTCTGAAAACCATTTTTTGTTCCTTACCACTTTCTACATTGCCTAGTTTCTCACCTTACTTATCAACTCCATTCAGCTGTGTATTTTTGGAAGCTTCCCTTTTTTGCCACTCACACACTTTTCTTTCATATATGGAAGAAGTCACATATTTGTGACTTGATTCTTAATTCATTATTTAAAATGCACTCAGTGTTGCCAGAGTTCAGCTGAAGCCTGTTATTCCCCATGATCTCCAGACATTGGGATAGAGCATCAGGAGCATCACTTAATTCATCAGGGATAAAGATGTATTGATACCTCACCTCACCAAGAGATATATATTTTTGTCAATTGCTTACAAGATAATAGATATAAGTAAAAACATAGTTATGAATACATGGATACACATAAGAAAAATAAAAATAAAAGAAACAATAGGACAGGGATGGTAGGCACATTGGTGCGCTTATGCACGCCCTCTATAGACCTCTTAGGAAAGGGGTGAGGTCAATAGTAGAGTCTAAGATTAAAGTTTTTGGGGTTTGGGGAAGAAACCACAGAATCAGGTAGAGTATTCCAGACATTGACCACTCTGTTGCTGAAGTCGTATTTCCTGCAATCAAGTTTGGTGCGATTAACCTTGAGTTTGTATCTATTGTTTGCTCTTGTGTTGCTATGGTTGAAGCTGAAGTATTCATTGATAGGTTGCAATGTATGATTTGCAATGTATGATTTGCAATCATACATTGCATTGCAATGTATGATTTTATATACTATACTTAGATCGGACTGAAGGCGGCATAGTTCTAGGTTTTCTAGGTCTAGAATTTCGAGTCTGGTGGCATAAGGTATTCTGCAATGAGTAGAGGAGTGGAGAACTCTTCTTGTGAAATATTTCTGGACTTTCTCAACTGTGTTAATATCAGGTACATAATGTGGGTTCCAGACTGATGAGCTGTATTCGAGTATTGGTCTAGCAAATGTTTTGTATGCTCTAGTTATTAGTGTAATATTGCCAGAGAAAAAGCTACATAAGATTAGGTTAACAACTCTTAATGCCTTTTTGGTAATGTAGTTACAGTGGGCTCTAGCACTTAGATCATTAGAGATGAGCACTCCAAGATCCTTGACAGAGTTTGGATCATCAACAAGGTCTTGACTATTCAGCCTGTATTTTATTTCCTGATTTTTTTTGGCCAATATGTAAGACAGCGCATTTATTTGTTGAGATTTGAAGTTGCCATTTGTTTGACCATTCTGGTACATAGTCAAGGTCTTTTTGAAGGGTAGCAGTATTGTCTGTGGTATTGAACAGCTTTACATCATCAGCGAAAAGAACGCAGTTGCTCTTAATATGATCACAGAGGTCATTTATGTAGAGTATGAAGAGAGTTGGTCCTAGAACACTGCCTTGGGGGACACCACTATTGACAGGTACAGAATTTGATAAGACTCTCCTAATTGTGACCATTTGTTGTCTGTTTGACAGGAATGCTTCTATCCAGTTATGCAGGTGTCCAGAGATACTGTAAGATTTTAGTTTTCGGAGTAGTTTGTTGTGTACCACTGAATCAAAGGCTTTACAGAAGTCTATGTAGATTGCGTTTATTGCTTTGCCCTGATCAAGTTGTGTAGTCCATATGTTTTTGCAGTGTAAGAGTTGCAGATTACATGATCGTTTTTTTCTGAAACCAAATTGTTTATTAGAGAGTAGGTTGTTTGTTTCTAAGTGGAGGATGATGGATTAGTTAATAATTGATTCCATGAATTTACAGGTGACGCAGCATAAAGAGATTGGTCTGTAATTTTCAACTAGGCTGGGGTCTCCCTTTTTGAAGATGGGGATGACCGTGGCTTGTGACCATAGTTTTGGCAAGGAGCTGGTCCTGAAAGATTTTTCAAAGATTATGCTTAGAGGTTCGGCTATGGCAGTGGGTAGCTTTTTTAAGAAGTAGGCACATATTCCATCCATTCCAATAGATAGAGATGGTTTTAGATTGTGTGGTGCTTTTTCAACATTGTCTTCCGTAAAATCGATATGTATTAGATCATTGTAATTGTCTGTTCGACTAGGAAATACTGGGCATGATCCATTGCTGTTTACAAATACTGAGCCAAAGAATGTGTTAAAGAGGTTGGCTTTAATGGTGTCATCATTGCAGTCTTTACCATTAGGTCCTTTCAGGGGTGGGATGGACCTTGAGTCTTTTAGTTTGTTGTTTAAAAAATTGTAGAAAGCGCAGGTGAAATTTGTGCGTAGGTTTTCTTCCTGTTTAATGTGATAATTGGTGCATTCAGTTTTTACCTGGTGGCATAACTTTTTGTATCAGCTTTTGAAGTTGGCAACGTGACCAGATTTGTTTTTCTGCCAAAGTGATTTCTTTTTGAATTGAAGCTTCCTTATTGTTATGGATAATTTGTTTTTTCTGGTTTGGGGAGTTAATGGTACATATAGTTTGATGACTCTTTTGACTTCAAGTAAAAATATGTTGTAATGGTCTTCTTCAGTATTACATCCAGAGAATAGAAATTGCCAATCAAGGGATGATAGATCGTTGTTTATAAGATCATAGTTGCCTTTTTTGAAGTTATATTTGGGGATTCCGTCATTGTGATGATTTTTGTGTGGATGTATGTTGAGACAAAAGTCAATCATGTTGTGGTCACTGTTGAAAAAGGGTTCTTTAATTTGTATTCTGTGAATTGAATTCAAACTATTGCAGAAGATGAGATCGAGGCAGTTGTTAAGTCTAGTGTTGTTGGTTACTAGTTGTTCTAGTCCCAGATTTGTTACTGCATTGTAGAAGGTTGCATGTGTGGGTTCAGTTGTACATTTGTTAAGGGTCCAGTTGATATGAGGTAGATTGAAATCACCAAGAAAGATAAAAGTGTGTGGGCAGGATGTTAGTAGTGTATTTAGCTTGTTTGCATGTTCGATGTCATAATCAGTAACATAGTAAGAACCGAAATGTGATATTTAAGGACAGTTCACAGATGACGGTCTCAGAATATTAAGGCAGAAGAATAGTTCATGTAGATGTTAAATAAAGAGGGCACTAGAGTTTCCTCGTGAGAAATGGCGAGTTAAGATATCTCTGTGATGGCTAGGAACAAAGAACTGGCAAGTAGATTGGTTGCACAGAAACTTCCTGGACAAAGAGAGGATGGGAAATTGCCCTCTTGTGCTCTATATCAGGGGTCACCAACTTTTTGGAGCTCAGGGACCACCAAACTCATAATTTTAAATCCCACGGATAAGAGACCCTGGGAAAAATCCCCCCAAAAAGTCTGCGGAAAATTCCCTACCCTGTTTTCCTACTGATCAATCGTTCTTTATTTGGGATCGCAGGATGCTGTCTCCAGCTCCATTCTCAGGGGGTTGGGGAGAGAGAGAGAGGGAGGGAGGGAGGGAGGGATTGAGAGAGAGAGAGAGGGTGTTTTGGTTTCATGCAAGGAAAGCAGCAGAAGCAGCAGAAATCTTTCTTTCTCTCCCCCAAACTCTGCCAGAAATGAGTCTTTGTGAGACTTGTCGTGCTGGTGCAGCCTCTTGGAGCAGGATGCCTTGCAGGGTCTCAAAGACACATTTTTGGAGGAGTTTGAGGGAGAAAAAGAAAACCTTTTGCTGCTTTCCTTGCGTGCAGCCAAAAGCAGAATTGGAAAGAAACAGAAAGATGCAGCCCGGTGGCCAATCGAGGGGCGTGGGGCAAGCTTCCGCCCTCTACCTTTTCCCGATCCCCTCACTACTTTGTGTTTTCGCAATGCGAGGGACACAAGCCTTTTGTTCCCGCAGGCCATGTGGGTGATGCAGCCTTGTGTTCCCATGCAGCTGAATTAATTGCTTTGAGGGGTGCTTTGGCGGGGGGGACATTTCTCTGCAGACCACCAAAATTTTCTCGTGGACCACCAGTGGTCTCCAGCCCACTGGTTGGCGACCAATGGGTACTCCTTGCAAGGAGCTTG